ATGAGCTCCGGGGGCAGCCGCCACGTGATGCGCCGCAGGTCCAGCTCCTCCCCCAGCAGGGGCTCGAACTTCCAGCCGCCGCCTTGGGAACAACGAAGGGCCGCGTTGGCACCGCCGGCGGGCGCGGGCGGCTGCGGGAGGGGGCGCGGCGGGGCGCAGGCCAGCGACGTGAGCCGGTCCTCGGGCTTTCCGGAATCCAAGTGTGGTCGCGGAGCGGGCGACGGGCGGGACCCTTGGCCCGCGAGGCGGAAGAGGAGCCCTTCCGTGCGAGCAGTGCAGCCGGTGAGGAAAGCCCCCCCACCCCCGGGGTGGCGCTGGCTCTGTCACCAGCTGTGAGGTCTCCTGGACCGAGCCTCAGCTTCCTCTGTACCGGTCAGAGTAATCTCTCCCCTGCCTGCCTCCCAGGGACAGTTCCAGAAGCCACAGAGTGCGTCCCAGGTAGTGTTAGCAGCTGACTTTGGGCACCTGATTCATACCTGCTGCTCTTTCAAACCCCCCACGACCCTTGGGTTTGGGTTCCTTAAGCCCAAGCTCAGCCCTGTCAGGGCAAGGATGGAAGAGAGTAGAAATCCTGGAGGATTTTGACTCATGGCATGGTATGATTGGCATCCTATTTTACAGGTCAGAACACTGAGGCACAGAGAGGGTGAGCAGTTCATCTGATGGCCCACAGTGGAGCCAAAGCTAAAACTGAGTACGAGGGAGTTCAGCTGAGGGCCCTTTATCCCGCACTGCGGGCAATCAGGAGGGAGGAGGAGCAGGACCAGAGGACAGGGCAGGGCAGGGGGGTCATGCCTGCCCCCTCCCACACAGCCTTGTCCCTGGGAGGTGGCCTGAATGTCCTGAGTCCGTGGCACAGCCTTCCGCGTGTAAGGCTGTGTTTCCACATGGTCCCGTGTGCGTGGCCCTGCACAGCCCTGTGTGCATCTGCTCCCAATCAAGTCTGTTTGCCTGTGCACATGACTGCCCATGGGCCGCGTTGGCTTTGTCCCCTCTGTACCCCACGCCAGTATGGTGCTTGTCAGATGGTAGGCTCTGCAGATATCCATGTGGAGCCGAGAGGGACTGCTAGTCTTGATCTCTATGCCTAGTGGTCACTGGCGCCATTGCTTTCTCTGGACACCTGTGACAGCCCCACCTCCTCCCGGGGACATGGATCCCAGACCCACTCACCAGTGTCATCGGAGACGCTAGGCCTCTGGCTGCCAGGAGGGGAGCGTAGAACGTCATCACTGTACATGAGGAAGCTCTCGTAGTCTTCCCCACACCGGGCGTCCACAATGGGGATGTCCGGGATGATAGGGACTGCAGGAGTGGGAGGGGTAAGCCAGGGCCCTGGCCTCAGCTTCCTGTCCTACCCTACCCCCCCGCTCCCCCCGTGCTCCCCCCCACTCACTGGACATGGGCCGCGTGGGTTGGGTGGCCAGGTTGATGATGGCCTCCCGCTCCGGGCCCCAGCCTGCCCCATTGCGCGCCTTCACCGTGTAGCGGTATGGCTGGGACTCCCGAAGGTTCTCAATGAGCAGCATCCGCCTCTTGGGAGCGTCCACCAATACCTTCTTCATGGGCCCGATGGGTCCTGGGCAGGGAGAGCGCCTCAGACGGGTCATTGTAGGTTCCTGCCTGGCCCAGCCCCGGGTCTGATGTAGTGGCCCTGCTTCTTGGGCTTTTCACTTCCCAGGGAGAGCACAGGGAACAAGGCAGGGAGCAAGCAGCTATGGGGCTTCTGGGTCGGGCCAGGCCCTGAGAACCTGGCCAGGACTGGTCTCAAGAAGTGTCACCAACGCTCTGAAGGGCTCATCCTTAAGCGGCCGAGCCAGGACTAGACTCACGGTGGCCCCACTGTCACCTCTACTGATTGGTAATGGTCCCGTGTCCAGGGCGCCGCCACCCGAGCGCTGAGAGCAGAGATAGCCCAACGCCCACCACAGCTGCCGCGGGGTCACATGAGCAAGGACGGGAGCAGAGGGTGGGCTCAGGGAAGCTGCACCTCAGGGCAGCCTGAGGCTTGTGAGAGCTCAGGGTGTCGGGGTGAAGGGTGTGCAAGACGACCAACAGTGTCAGGTTAGCCAGGAGCGGAGGCCAAGTAGCTCTCCTGCACTCACGGACACGCAGCCCTGGGAGGAAGGAGAAAGTGACCCCCGTAGCTCCGGGCAAGTTACAGGGCTTAGGCCCAGGGACAGCAAGAAGGGGCCTGCCACGTTGGAAGCCTTCTGGGAAACCAGAGAAGGCACAAAAGACTGGAGGCCAGAGAAGGTCCCAGTCTCCAAAGAGGTCCAAAGGAGGCTTCTGGAAAATGATACCTGGTAAGCTTGGTGTCTGCCCCCAGCAAACAACTGTGCTTAAAAAGAATTGGCTGGTGGAGGCCCCTCAGCCTGGGGGAGGTCTCTAGCTGCCAAGGTGGGCACTGCCTCTTGGCCCACCCCTCACATCCCTGTCAGCTAGTGGGAGAGGGGGAAAGGGGCACCCACCAAAGTACTGATACCCTCGACCAGGGGGCCATCTGGCACATTCCAGGACACAGCTGAGACCTCAGCAGGCTGGAGCCATGGCTGAAATCATTGGGAATGAACTTTCCACAGGATACATGGAGGGGTCAGAGGAGACTTCCTCTGTGACAGTGATCATGGGGGGACTAGGTGTTATAAACCCAGAATGCACCAAAGGTGTGATGCAGCTGTTGAGGTCATGTGTGGTCTGCTTGGCTGGTAAAGAGCAACAAGCCTGATGTCTAGAATAATCTGTCTGTCCTCTGCCCTGTTGGGCCACTCCGGGAGTCTGAGCCTGACCCATGTTAAGGTCCAGAGGTCGTGTGAAGTGGTGAGGTCCCCGTCCCTGGGACTGACCAAGGAGAAGTGAGGGCACAAGGAGGAGGTCCCTGCACGCGCTGGATGTGGGACCGAGTTCCCTCACTTTTCTCATCTTGGCAATTGGTGGGGTTGCCCACCCTTCCCTCCCTGCCAGGACTGGGAAGAAAGAACAGTGCTGCCAAATAAAATGCTACATGAGCTGTACTAAAAAAAAAAACCTGTTTATCTGAAACTCAGGGCATCCTCTATTTGCTAAATCTGGCAACTCTCCTTTGGCCCCACGAGAACCCTGTGAAAATGAGCCACCCTGGTTCCCTGGACGGGAAGGCACCTTGAGCTTGTGAACCCAGTGCACATCTATCTCACGCCTCCCGTCCCCACCTGCCCTGTGAGCTTCTGCGCTTGGTCTTGGGATGCGACCAGCCCAAACCTGACCACAAACCTGACAATGCCTCAGGCCACCAGACATATGGGGCTCGACCAGCGACCGGGATGACGTGACCTCCCTCCTGCTCTTTGCCCCCTCCCCTTCCTGCCATCCCCGGGGGCAGGAGGGGTCCAGGTCCTTACGGTTGTCCTCGTTGACCAAGCCGTAGCAGACCTCGTAGGCCGTGATCTCGCCGTTGGTCTCAGCCGGCTCAGCCCAGCTCAGCTGGGTCACCGTGGAGGAGACGACATTGAAGGCCAGACGCCCTGGCTCACTGGGTACTGAGGGAGGGGCAGGGGGCAGTACAGGGAGAAAGCTGTCAGCCGCAACAGAGGGGGGGCAGGGTTCTGGGAGGTGGTGGGGGGCAGGGCTGCGCATCAGGGTCGCTTGGGGATAGACAGGTGGTGAGGCCTCACCTTCCTGTTGGGTGCAGCAGGACACCAAGGAGCTGTAGGGGCCCTCGCCCTGTGCCCCATAGGCGCACACCTTCATCTCGTACTCGCAATATGGGTACAGGTTGGTGAGCTCCGCCGAGGGCACCTTGCTGTCAAGCAGGTGGGCTTCGGACTCAGAGTCACCCTGGATCCAGTACTTGACCTGCCCCCAGGGGAGGAAAGAGTCAGTGGGGAGCGGCAAGGGCCAGAGCTGCTCGTCCCTCCACGAATCTCCTGCTCTTATTGTCCCCTTTGCACAGATGAGATGCCAAGGGGTTGGTGATCTGCCAGGTTCACACAGCAGGGCTGGGACAGAACTGGGGTGTCTCCTGGGTGGGTGGAGGAGCCACATTCCAGGAAGGAGGGCAAATGTCTGAAAACTTCAGGGATGGGTCTTCCCTCTTCCCCAAGCAGATGGGGGTTCCCCCTGCCCCCTTGTGCCCCCGAAGCATGCCCTCTCCGCCCCCTCAGGGGCCCTCTGGCCTCAGGTGGCCCACATCCCCAGTGGGTACCAGGCCTCCCCATCCACCTCCCTCATTGCCTCCCACCTTACCCTGTACCCTGTTGGCTTGCCAGGAGGGGGCAGCCAGTTGAAAAGGATCTTCCGGGACCCGGCAGCCTTGGCATTGGGGTTCTGGGGGGCACCCAGGTCACCATGGTGAGGGAACGATGACAGTGTCTGGCTTGTGAAGTTCTGGTCCAGTTCGTCTGTAGTGAGCCAAGCCCGAGTGGAGCAGCCCACTCAGCCACCCCCTCTTTGACGGAGGCAAGAATCCACCCTCACCACCAGGGGGCTCCCCCCAACCCTTCCCCACCAGCACTCAGCTGACAGCTGCCACCCCAGGCCCCTGGGGGTTTGGTGCCCCGACTGGTACCACAGAGGGCAGCCTGCCCTCCTGGTGGAGGACCCAGGAGGGTCTCTGGAGGAATGAGGAGGAGGAGGGAGTTCGTCTGCCCTTCTTTCTCCCTTGGCAGCCAAGGGAATACTCCATGTGAGAACATTTGTTCCTACACACCCCCTTCTCTCCCCTCTCCCCTGAGAATCTTCCCTCTTCTCCTATCTTCTGGGAAAACCTCTGGGGTGGGCTCACAGACACGGCCATCCTGGAGCCTAAGGACCCATAAGAACTGTTTGACTCTCCGGGAAACACCTGCATTTTAGTTGGAACTGAGACTGAAGTTGAAGGGCTAAGGCCTAGCGGTGGGGTTCATGGCCTGCCACTCCACCCTCTCTGGTTGAGAGCAGGATTGCTGCATAAAATGCAGGACCCCTAGTTAAGCTGGAGTTTAAGATAAATAACAAATAAGATAAGTATATCCCAACTGTTGCATGGGGCATACCTACACAAAACTTGTTCCTTGATTATCTGAAATCCAAATCTCACTGGGCATCCTGTATTTTTACTTGCCAAGACTGGCAGCCTCCGTGGAGAGGCCCCCAGCCCTCCCTCTGCACCTGCTTAAGCACACTCCCCGCTCTGCGCACCTGGGTCCCCAATGATGACGGTGGCTGAGTGGGGCTGGCCCAGGCGAGCCCCGAACTTGGGGTTGGTGAGTTGAATGTGGAAGCGGCGGGTCTGGCGGCCCTGCAGGAGGGAGTCTATCTCCTGCAGCTCCAGGAGCTTCACCTGCAGCTCCTTCCAGGTCTCCCCAGGTTGGAACAGCAGCTCACCCTCTGCGGGGATGTAGTCCTGGGAGTGGGATGGGGTCAGGGTCAGACCAGGGCTGGAGAATGAATCACACCAAGCACTCCACCCCGACCTCGTGCATACGGCAGAGACCATCACACACAGACAATCCCACGTGGACACGAAATGGCTCATGTTCCTATAACACCTCCTGTGCATCAAGCACTTTACAAATCTTAGCTCATTTGACCCTCACAGCACTGTGAGGGGGAGCTGTTACCGTCCCCAATTTACAGATGAGGAGCCGAGAAACTTGCCCAAGCTCACACAGATAGTTGTGCTAGAGCTGAGCTGAGATTTGAACTGAGGCCCAGAGATGGGGATTTCTAGCAGATACAGAGAGTCCCATACGGGCAGGCCCCACCCAGGGAGAGAGGACCTGCCCCCCACACTGTGGCTCTGAAGCCTGGGATCCCACCAGGCCCCAGGCCCTGCCTCCTGGATAGGGTGCCTCCATCAGCTCCAGTTTCCTTCTTTCTTTCTTTTTTTTAAGGTCCTATTTATTTGAGAGAGAGAGAGAGAATGAGCATGAGCAGGGGGAGGGTCAGAGGGAGAGGGAGAAGCAGACTCCCCTCTGAGCAGGGAGCCCAATGCGGGGCTTGATCCCAGGACCCCAAGATCATGACCTGAGTCAAAGGTAGATGCTTAACCGACTGAGCCACCCAGGCGCCCCTCCAGCTTTCTTCTTTCAATGCCTCAGAGCTCTCCTGAGCGTCTGGGATGCGAGCGTCTGTGTGTACAGACATGTATGGGGTCCGTCAGCAGCAACGGGAGGGGGGGTCCTGCTCACCTGAGACCACTAGGTGGCGCTGCAAACTAACATTTCAAATCTAGGCCCAGCAGGGGGCAAATTCAAGGGCTACAAACCCAGATCCCGACGAGGCAAATCCAAGAAAAGCAGGAGTTACCTGCTAGACAACTGACGGGGGGGGGGCACTTCAAACGTCAAAGTCACAAAAGACAAAATGGGAGAATTGTACTAGATTAAAGGAGGCTTCAGACACATGACAAAATGCAATGCCAGATCCTTGCTTGGTTCTTGGATTGGGGCAAAAAAAAAGCTATCAAGGACATTGTGGGGACATGTGAACAAGCAGAGATCTGAATATGGACCAATTATTAGGTAATACTACAATGTGAGGTTTCTTAAAGTTGGTAATGATGAAGTTGTGTAGAATAGCCTTGCTCTCAGCAGGGGCCGGCAGAAGCTGTAGGGTCTATGTGATGTCTACAGCTTACTTTGAATAGTTCCGTAAACAAAATGAAACGGAACACAACTTTCTCTGTCTCTCTACAGTTACAGATGAGAGATGCATATCCGCACATACATTTCTATGTACGTGCATCTATTCCTGTGTCTACAGAGAAGGAAAGACAGAAAACAAATATTAATTGGCGACTCTATGTAAAGGGTAAATGGGCGCTAATTTTATTAGTCTTTTCATTTCTCTGTAGGTTTGAAGTTTTTCAAAATAAAAAATTTGGGAAATAATAATAGTAATGTTTTTTAAAACACATAAATACCGAACTATCTTTATAAAAGCACAACAGGATCGCCAGAATCTCTTAGATAATTTGGTGTATTCAGTGAAATTTACGGACCTACAAATTCTTCCTTGGAACTTTTATTGGGAGCACTGGCATTCATGAGAACTGTTCCATCGAATAAAAGGAAGTGAAGAAGAGGGTGTGGTCAGGCTTCGGGAGCCCGCTGAGCACATGCTCCCTTGCATTTGCCTAACAGGACTGTGGGCCCCGTGACATTACATTCTATTACTCTCTAAGTGAATTGCTGATATGAATATTTTTAGTTTGTAAATGTTGATAATAAACTCAGAAAAACAAACCTGTAAGCCAAGCCGAGCACATGCAACACCTGGATTTGGTTCTTCCGGAGACTGGGGCCCAGTGATGGAGGGGATGTGGGCCCACGTGCTTGGCACTGCCGGCCTTCAAGGGCTGCTCCTGCAGCTTGGCCCTGGGAGGGCCTGCCAGGCAAACCGTGACAGCCCTTGGGGAGTCTGTCTAGGGCCATGTGGCCTCTGATCCCACCTCAAGAAGCCCAGAGCCCCAGGGGGCGCCTGGGTGGCTAAGTCGGTTAAGCATCTGACTCTTGATTTCAGCTCAGGTCATGATCTCAGAGTCCTGGGATCAAGCCCCGAACTGGGCTCCGTGCTCAGCATGGAGTCTGCTTGTCCATCTCCCTCTGACCCTCCCCACTGCGCGCTCTCTCTCTCTCTCTCTCAAATAAACAAATAAATAAATAAAATCTTAAGGAAAAAAAGAAGAAGAAGAGGAAGAAGCAGCCCAAAGCCCCAGGACTGGGGCAGATGGGGAAGTCCATTTCACTCTGAAGGGTTTGGCTGCCCTGATAGATACCGGCTTGTTGGAAGGAGACATGACTGCTCTGGACGTGTCCCTGGCAGCAATGGGGCCTCACCTCGGGCACCACTGGCACTTCTGGTGAGCGAGACACGCCTGCTGCCGAGTGGCGGGCGCAGGTAGAGGCAGGTGTGTCCTTGGGAGGCCAGCCAGGGGCACCTCCAGCAGCCCGGGACTCTGGCTCTCGCTGGGACCCTGGGAAACGCCATTGACCCCATGGCGGAGCCTTACCCGGTTGCCCAGCGCAGTGTTATCCTGTGTGCGGTAGGACACCTGGGACTTGCCATTGTCCAGGATGCGCCGGACGACAGGAATGCGGGCCACTTGCTCCCCGCCGCTGACCGAGTACTCGGGCTTCTCAAAAGACACTATCCCGCTGGCTGCAAGGACCCAGGCGACAGTCAGGGCGTCCTGGCCTCCGTCCCTTCTCCACACCCACCCTCCCTCTGGCCCAGTCCCGCCTCGACGCCAGGAGTCTGCCTGTCATTCCTCACCCCACCGCCCTCTGGGGAGAGCAGAGGAAGGGAATGGAAATTTCTTCCAGAAAAGACTGAGGGAGCTGGAACAGAGTCCCACTGACATCCCGGACGTGTCAGGGCAGAGGAAGGAGGCCAGGCAGGGGCGTAGCCAGAGAAGAGGCCCCGAGACTGAGGACCGGGCCAGAGCAGGACAGAGTCCTGTGTTTGCTGGAGCAGGTGGGCAGGAGGGCTCAGGGGCCAGAGCAGGCCCTCCGGATGCAGGAAGGACGGTCATCAACAAGCCGAGGTTCCCCGAGGAGCAGGTAGGGAAGGCAACAAGGGCGTCAGCGGGACGGTGTGTGCTTCCCCTCCCACAGCCCTTCCTGCTCTCCTGTCCTGGCATCCTAGCGAGGTCTATTCAACCTCCTAAGTTCAAAGGCCAGAAGGGAGGGAAGAACAATGGGAGGGACGGGGGCAACTTCAGGAGGACCCAGCACCCTACGAAGAGTATAACAGAAGCTCCCACATGAATGCTCACTACCAGGCACGTACCGCGACGTACCCCTCTCGAGAGCCAGACGCCCATTTTACAGATGGAGAAACCAAGGCTCACAGAGGTTAAGTGACCTGCCTATGCCACATGGCCGGGCCCCATTTCCACTCAGGTATCAGGAGGAACAAGGGTTCGCAGAGCCCCCTTTCTGCCCACCCCTGCTCCCTCCGCCCTGATCTACCTTGCTCCTTGATGATGGTGATGTTTACGAGGCGGCGGCCGAGGGTGGCGGTGCCCATGGGTACGTCGATAGCCTCCACCAGCAGCTGCTTCTCGTCGTCGTCCTCAGGCCGGATGAAGAGGGGCACCCGCACGTCTACCAGCTCCACGCCCTCCTGGAACTCCACCATGCCCCGGGCATCTGGGTGGGTGTTGGGGGGGCAGAGAGGGGTCAGGGGGCCCCACTGGGGCGGGAGGCACAAGGGAGTGGTGCAGGGAGCCTGCCCACCTACCCTGGTCTGCAGTGAGGGTGTAGTAGCCCGGGGCCACCTTGAGCTCATGGAAGGACCCCTGTTCCACATGCTTCTCTGTCAGCTTCAGCAAGGCCTGCTTGGCTGAGCGGGGTGCCGTCAGTACCGTGTCCACGATGGTGTGGTCCTGCCTGGGGTAGGGGTGGGGGGTCAGGTGGGGATGTGTCAGGCGGGCCATGATGCTGGCACTTGACCGCCCATCCCCCACCCTCCTGCTTTTCCTCTCCCCAGCAGGGGACATGATGCCTGGCAGCAAAAAGTGCAGGGTCTTCGGAACTGGGCAGTCCTGGAGGCCCCTGCTGGCCCCACCACCTCACTCTGAGCCTCAGTCAAGCCACGGTGCCTCCTTGAGCCTCAGGGTCCTCATCTATGAAATGGGGCCCCTCCCTAGACCCTCCCATCTATGAAATGGGGCCCCTCCCTAGACCCTCCTGATACCTGAGTGGAAATGGGGCCCGGCCATGTGGCATAGGCAAGTCACTTAACCTCTGTGAGCCTTGGTTTCTCCATCTGTAAAATGGGCGTCTGGCTCTCGAGAGGGCTACTCCTGGGATCCCTCCCTTCAGGTGGGATCCCAGGAGTAGATGCAGGACAGAAAAGATGCTACGGGTGTGGGCGCTGGAGTCAGACAGGCTGGGTTCAAATCCTGGCTCTATTTCTCAGTAACTAGGTAATGTGGGCCAAGATGCTTGACCCGGGGCTGCCCCACCCGTGTGCCTTCAACTCACTTTTTCCCGGCGTTGGGCTGCTGCCTGTGGGGACCAAGAGGGGGCTGTGAGCCGCATGGTGTCTGGGGTGGAGGCATGCCCTGCTTGGGGGGGTGTCCCCTAGAGTGGGCAGTATGGGCAGCCCCCCCCCCCAACCCCAGGCACCCAGGACCCACCGGAACTTAGTCTGCTGGAGCTTATGTGAGTCTGTTATCTGTCGGTACACCTCATTCAGCTGCCAGGCAAGGAAAGGCATGAGGCTGGCGTCCTGGGTAAGCCTCCCTACCCAGAGCCATCCAGGCCCAGTGGACATGGTTGGTTGGGGACATGCACAGGGGCCTGCACATTGCCTTGTCCCCTTCTGGAAACATTCATAGGATGACCCCAGGCCAGGCACATGTCCAAGGAAGCCCCTCTTTCCTATGCAGAAAAATCCAGGTTCCACAGCAGCTTTCCCTTGCTCTCCCTCTACCGGGATCACCCCCAAGCCCAGAGATCAGCTTCTTTGGCCCTTACGTTCTCCTCCACCTCCTGGCGCAGCTGGTTACACTCTCGCGTGTCAGGTTTCAGCAGGTTCTCGGTGCACAGGCGGGCGAGGCGCAGGGACAGCCCGTAGGGCACTAGGGATAGGCGGGGATGGGGGTCATCAGCCCCCTGCACAGCAGGCATGCTGGAAGCCCCCTCCAGGAGCCACGCTAGGATGGTGGGGGGTGGGGGGGACCGGTGGGCCGAGAGCCTGAGGCCTGGAGCACCATCAGGAAGGGCAGAAGGTGGCCAAGCCTGTGCTTGCACCCAATACCCAGAGAAGACGGGAATGCTGTGACTTGAGACCCGGAACAGTGGTGAATGTGCCCCAGGCCCCAGGGGCACTGCCAAGAGCCACCGCCAAGCCCCCGCCCTCACCCAGCTCTGTGGGGTTGGTGCTGGAGGCGTGGGTGGCAAAGCCAGGCCGCTGCACGTTGTTGGTGATCTTCCATCGGACCATGTCCCGTCCCTTGAGGTTCCCGCTGCGTAACATGGGCGTATCCAGGTGGTCCGAGGCCATCAGGTTCTCCCGCAGCATGTAGTGGTCTTCCTTGAAGCCCACCATGTGACCTGCATGATAGGGTCCTCCGCATGGGGCCTCACCCTAGGCCCTCCCCGCCACACCCCCTCCGGGTGGGATCCCAGGCCTCCTGCCTCTGTTCCAGACTCAGCCCCTATTTCCCCTCCACCCCATCTGGGAGCACGAGCAGGCAGAGCCCTTGCCGCCCCTGCGGATGCTGGGTCAATACCTCGGTTGCAGCAAGGGAGAAGTGCCAGGCAAGCCTAGGAGACAAGGTGGGTGCGGATGAGGGCTGGGACAGCTCCCTCAGCTCACAGAAACCCCCCCACCTACCCCGCTCTCCATGCCAATGGTCCAGAGGGGCAAAGGTGCCTTCCCCAGACACCAGGATATCAAGGAAGTTGAAGGGATCTAGGTGTGGAGCACACAGGGTGAGTATGGAGGGTGATGGGGGCAGAGGATTGCCAAAGTTTGTGCCATGGGACCCTGGTCCTGCCAGATGATCTGTAAAGGATCTATGATCCAACCCATTTGAGAAGCACTGAATTCATTCCCCATGCTCCTCTTAGAGTGTCACTATGCATACAACTAGATCAAAGGCTCTGAGAAGTCCCGCAGAGAGGAAGCCTCTTTCCCAAATGTATTTGATCAGAGATGTCTTTATCTCTGTAACACACACTAATATCCCACAATACTGGGGCTACTACACAGCGTCTCCTGTTCCTACAATTCAGTATCCCGAGCCGGGCCATCCTCCATGCTTTCTTGCCTCTTATCTCTTCTCCCCAGTGAGACTATCAGCTCCTGGTGGGCAAGGCCCTTTCTTCCTTGTTGGCTCCCCTGGCCCTTTGCATGTGCCTGGCCTGAGGACAAGCAGTCTCAGGTCCGGGCCACTGATGGTTGGCAGAGGCAAAGGGCTGGCGTGGGGAGGGCACTAGAGCTGGGCAGAAGACGTGGGTTCACCTGGCCTCTGCCACCTATGAGGACCTTGGGGGGGTTGGAGACCCCAGGGTGAGTGGAGACCCTGGGGTAAGTAGGGACACTGGTGGGAAGTGGGACCCTGGTGGGGGATGGGGACCTGGTGGGAGTAGAGGTCCCTAGGGGGGATGGGGGCCCCTGGCGGAGGTGGGGTCCCGGCAGGGGGGCCCCCCGGGGTAAGCGGCCCGGCGGGGAGGGGGTGGGGGGCTGGGGGACCCCTGGGGTAAGTGGGCGCCTGGCAGGGAGGCGGGGGGGACGGCAGGGGGGCGGGGGGCCCCTGGGGTAAGCGGCCCCGGCGGGGGCGGGGGGCGGGGAGGCCCCTGAGGTAAGCGGGGACCCTGGCGGGGGGGGTGGGGCCCCTGGGGTAAGCGGCCCCGAGGAGCCCCCACCTTGCAGCAGGCGCAGTACTTCCAGCAGAGGAGCAGTAGCAGCGCCAGGAGCAGCAGCAGGAAGATGAGCAGAGGGATGAGCCACCAGAAGGACCTGGGTGGGCAGTCTGCGGAGGAAGGGAAGGAAGATAAGGAGGGAGGCGATGCCCACTCCCCACTGGGGCTGCCAGGCCACCCGCCAGCCCTGCCCGCCAGCTCACCCTTCTTGCTGTGTACCAGGACAGTGCTGTTGGGCCCGGGGGCTCCGTCGCCCTCCACGGTGTAGCTGTACGTGCAGTCATCCTCCTCATCCCGGAAGGAGCAGTGCTCCACCACCTCCTCTCCTGCACCCACAGGTGGTCAGCAGGTGCCTCAGGCCTGGGGAGGTGCTCCCTACTCTGGGGCCCACCGCGCCCACTGCAGGGACGCAAGTCCCTGGGCACAGGGCCAGGCTGAGGTGGGGCGCCACCCTGTCCCCGCCCAGGAGCATCAAAGGCTGCAAATCTGTGCTCCCCCCTCCCCATCCTGGGTGTCACTCAGGAACTTGGCTTCTAGGACATTTATCTGACCTGGAAGAGAGGAGGCTGTGTGCTCCCAAGGCCCAATGACATGCCCCTACTGTGTTCATATCCCTGCCCGGCTCTCTGCCCCCTGCCTAAGCCAGGTTCCCCCTCCGCAGACTCTTTGGTCCCTACTCAGCTGTGCCTCCTGCCCCCGGGGTCTGTGAGTCCTGTCTGCATTCTGTGACCTCTCCCCGGGCTGGGATCCCTCCCCTCTCTCTGGTCTGCATGACCTCAACCCAGACTGTGAGCCCTCTGCCCAGCTCTACAGCAGCCCCGCCCAGCTGAGTGACACCCCTACCCATCGGATGCCCCATGCCTAGGTTCTTAGCGCCCCCGTCCTCGGCACTGCCTCACACCTCTCTTAAGCTCGTCCACCATCTTGACCTTGAAGCTGCACTCCTCGCATGTGCGGCCTTTCTTCTCACCGGTGCCCCAGGCTTGGCACTGCACACAGGAGCGCAGGTCCTCGCAGAGGCCCAGGCGGATCTGGGGAGGGGGGGAGGGGGGGGGGGGTGTGCTGAGCCAGGGGGGTGGGGGGTGTGCTGAGCCAGGCCGGCTCCCCTAACCTCACTCACACCCCTGGCTGGCTCCTATATCACCAGGCTCAGCGCTTCCTGCCCGCCCTGCCCTGTGCCTAAGGTTCCCATGCCCACGCGCCAGTGACCTTGGCCTCACCGCTGAGTAGTTGATCTCACAGATGGTGTCCGTGTAGAGCGACTGCTGGTTACAGTGGCAGCGGCCACACTCGCAGTAGCCACGCCCGTTACAGATGCCCTAGAGAAAGAGGACGCACCACTGAGGCACCAGTAGCCCCGTCCCTGCCTGAGAGGGTGGGTGGTGCCGGCTAGGGTCCCTTCTGCCACCCTGCACTGCCCTCCTGCTGCCCCGGCCTACCCCACTGCTGTCGATGCAGGTGGCATTGCTGAGAGGACAGTCACAGCTCAAGCCTGTCCACCCAGGCTCACACACGCACTGGCCCATGGAACAGCGTCCCCGGTCTGCAGAGAGCGGGGAGGGGTAGGAGAGGAGAGCCACATTCACTCCTGCAGTCCAGGCTGCCCATCTGCCAGGCGGGGCCTGTGGTTGCTCAGCCCGAGCTGGGATTTCTCCAGCCAGGGGCAGATCCATCTCTTCTTTTTTTTTTTTTTTTTTTTAAGATTTTATTTATTTATTTGACAGAGAGAGACACAGCGAAGAGACGGAACACAAGCAGGGGGAGTTGGAGAAGGAGAAGCAGGCTTCCTGTAGAGCGGGGAGCCCGATGCGGGGCTCGATCCCAGGACCCTGGGATCAGGACCTGAGCCGAAGGCAGACGCTTAACGACCCAGGCGCCCCCATCTCTTCTTCACTTTCTTGGAATCTCCTTCCCTCCCTCTCTCCGATTCCATTCTGCCTTCTACTTTCCACTCTACAGCCAGAGTCATTATCCCAAAACACAAATCGAATCATGTGTCTCTCTGGTTTAAGAACCTCTCAGGAGTTCTGGCCAATGCAATAAGGTAAGAAAAAGAAAAAAAACATGTAAGTATTGTAAAGTAAGAAATAAAACTGCCATTATTTTAAATATTAGGAACATGGGGTGCCTGACTGGCTCAGTCAGTGGAGCATGTGACTCTTGATCTCAGGGTTTTAAGTTCAAGCCCCACATCAGGTGTAGAGATTATGTAAAAATAAAATCTTAAAAAATATATATTAGGAACATGTCACAAAATATCAAAAAGAACTTGCAGATAAATTATTAGATTTCATAAGTGATTTTTTAAAATTTTCTAAGCTTATAATGCCCTTTTTTAAAGATTTTATTTATTTATTTATTTTAAAGATTTTATTTATTTATTTGACAGAGAGAGAGATAGCGAGAGCAGGAACACAAGCAGGGGGGGTGGAGAGGGAGAAGCAGGCTTCCTGCGGAGCAGAGAGCCCGATGCGGGGCTTGATCCCAGGACCCTGGGATCATGACCTGAGCCGAAGGCAGACGCTTAATGACTGAGCCACCCAGGCGCCCCAATAAATAAAATCTTTAAAAGAGAAAAAAAAAGAGGGATGCCCAGCTGGCTCAGTTGGTTAAGCGACTGCCTTCGGCTCAGGTCATGATGCTGGAATCCCAGGATGGAGTCCCACATGGGGCTCCCTGCTCAGTGGGAAGTCGGCTTCTCCCTCTGGCCCTCCCCCTTTCATGCTCTCTCACTCTCTCTCCCTCAAATAAATAATAAAAAACCAAAATCGGGTGCCTGGGTGGCTCAGTCGTTAAGCGTCTGCCTTCGGCTCAGGTCATGATCCCAGGGTCCTGGGATCGAGTCCCACATCGGGCTCCTTGCTCCGCGGGAAGCCTGCTTCTCCCTCTCCCGCTCCCCCTGCTTGTGTTCCCTCTCTCTGTGTCTCTCTCTGTCAAAAAATAAATAAAATCTTAAAAAAAAAAAAAACAAAAAAAACCAAAATCAAAAAAAGAGAAAAAAAGTTCAAACTGGACTAGAACTGGACCCACCCTGGATGGACCCCAAACCCCCCGCATTCTGGTCCTGCCTCCTTCTCCAGCAGCCTCCCCCTCCCCTCCTCTCACAGCTGTGCCTGTGCCAAATGCCTGCCTTCCTCCAGATGTGCTGGGCTCTCCTTTTGTTTCTCTGAGCACACTCTGGCATGGACGACTGAAGCAGAGACATGACAGACAAAAGCAAGAAGGGAGGAAAGGTAGGAAAGCAGGGGCTTGACCTCCAGTGACAAGTAGACAGTTGGGGCTAAATAAGTAATTGATGGCTGGATTTTCATTGATTCTCCTCCATTCAAACCACTCAATCCTTCCTGTGGCTGCTGGGTGGGTTCTGTGACCCTTGCCCTGCTTGGAAGCCCTGGCCACACTGCATAAGCGTGTGGGGCTACGGTGGACACGTAACTCCAGGCCCTGAGAGAGGAAAGACCGTCATGCCACATACCAGCAACCACTGAGGATTCAGCTGGATGGGACCAACCCTCATGAGATGGCAGAGACCACAGGACCTCAGGGGCAGTGGTCTGAAGCACGAGCAGGGGCCTTGGGCATCAAGTCTGCAGAGGGGAGGGAGGTCCAGGTTGGGGTGGCCTTGGGGGAGGCACTTGGGGAGCCCCGAGGGGGGCTAGGTCCGAACTTGGGGATTCTGACTCCTGGCCTGGCCCTCCACCCAGGTCAGGACCCCCGGGTTGCCCTTGCTGTCCCGAGCCCCCCAGCACTGGCCGCCGGGGCTGCCGAGCTCACCGTTACAGAGGACCCCGGAGGCACGGGGACACTGGAAGTTGTCATACTCGCAGAACAGCCCCTCGTAGCGGCCTTCTCCGTAGCACACACAGTGGCCACACTGGCACTCGCCACGCCCAGAGCACGGCTTGTCCTCGTCCTCCCGCAGGCAGGGCGCTATGTCACTCAATGAGCCCGTGGAACAGCTGCAGGTCTTGCCACTCCTGAGGAAGGAGCCAGTCACTTCCCCACAGCCCGCGGGGAAGGCTGGGGCTTTTACCAACCCATTGCACAGATGAGGAAGCTGAGGCTCGGAGAGAACCTCAGTGGGTCCAAGTCACACAGACAGCGGTGCCTGAGCTGAGACTCAAACGTCCGTCCCAAGACCCTCCCAGGGTCCCTTCCTCAAGTCACCATGGACTTGTTCGGTGTCTTGAAGCTTTAAGAGCCCTCACTACCCTTATGATGAGCTCATTTCTGATTAGGTCACACGTGCGCATGGTTCAGAATACCAAATACAAAGGGATGGAGTGAAAAGTAAGTGTCCCTCTCGTGTCTGTCCCCCATCAGCCAGTCCCCACACCCTGCTGGCCACCACTGTCCTGATTCTTGCACCTTTTCTCAGAGATATTCTTTTTTTTTTTTTTTTAAGATTTTATTTATTCATTTGAGAGAGAGAGACACACAGAGAGAGAGAGAGAGAGAGAGAGCATGAGCAGGGGAGAGAGGCAGAGGGAGAGGGAGAAGTAGACTCCCCACTGAGCTGGGACCCCAACGTGGGGCTCGATCCTAGGACCCTGGGATCAGGACCTGAGCTGAAGGCAGACCCTTAACCATCTGAGCCACCCAGGCGCCCCTCAGAGATATTCTTTATGTCTATGTATTTTGAAGTGCTTTGAGCTGGATCCCCCTCACAACTGGGCATGCCCCTTTCCAAGCCTCCCTGTGACCCGCCATCCCGCCCTCAGCTGGGTATCCGTGGTGCACCCCACATCAGAGCCTTATGGTGGCCAGGGCACCCCCACACACTCACCAGCCCTCACTGCACACACAGTGTCCACACACGAAGTCGCCGTGGTGGTTGCAGCGAGCTGAAAGCTCCTCTTTTTGCTGGAACGAGATCATGGTGGGGTGCAACAGGGCCCCTGGACATGTCTGCTGCCTCTGCCCCTCAGGGCACCCCGCAAGGCAGGCATGGCCCCCGGAGGCTTGGCTTCATTCCTCGGGGCCCCGGGGCAGTTGGCCAGCCCTTCCCTCCCGCCTAGCAGGGCCGCATCGTACCAGCTCACATGGACACACGTCGCAGATGATGCCCGCATCCATCCAGAGGCCGTCCGAGAAGGAGGGCTTCAGGTGGATGTTGCCCTTCTGGTCCTCTTCCCCCAGCTGGCACACGTGAGTCCCATCCACAGACTCCATAGCCCGCAGCTGCACCTGGTACGTGCCCTGCAAGGACTCCACTGTCAGCCAAATGGACATTGATAAGAGGCCCCTGTGTTCCATTCGCTCATCTGAGCAACCCTCTGAGCTCTGTGCTGATTAATCCCCACTCCGCAGATGAGGACAAGCTGAGGAAGGTGTCAAAGTCATCCAGGTGGCTAACCCAGGGGGCTTCGAACCCAGGCCTGACTCTGAAGGCCACACTCTTTATTATTATTATTATTTAAAAAAAAATTTTTTTTTTAATTTTATCTATTTGACAGAAAGAGAGGGACACAGCGAGAGGGAACACAGCAGGGGGAGTGGGAGAGGGAGAAGCAGACTCCCCACTGAGCAGGGAGCCCGATACCCTGGGATCATGACCTGAGCCGAAGGCAGACACTTAACAACTGAGCCACCCAGGCGCCCCCCCCAAATTTTTTTTATTAAGTAATTTCTATGCCCAACGTGGGGCTCAAACTCATGACCCCGAGATCAAGAGTTAGCCAGGAGCCCATAAAGGCCATGCTCTTGACCTCTGCTCAGGCAGATCCCCCCCCACTTGGCAGGGCCTTGTGCCCATCCTCCCCTTCCCAAAACCCCACAGAGGCTTACCACTTTCCCCCGCTGGATGTGAAAGGACCCAGTATTCGTCTTTTGTAAGTCATTGGAGGTGACCTCTGTCCGCAGGCCTCGGGGGCTTTCCAGGGCCCGGATGTCCAAGTTGGAACGAATGCGCTGAAGAAGGGCAAGCAATCAATGGTCTGGGAGGGGGAGCCTGGGCTCACCCACTCTGGCTTGGCCTGGCTGAGCTCCACCCACTCTGCACCAAGGACTGAGGGGGAGTGGGGGGATCAAGGTGGCAGAGCCCGCAGGAACTTGGGGCCAGGCTAAGGTGGGCATCTCAGGGTCTCCAGGGAACAGCAGAGGCCCTTCCTCACTGGCCTATCTTACTTCTCAACCTCTACTTGGGCCCTCCGTTGCCCATTCTGCCTCCTCCCCAGCCCTGCCCCAGAAGGGCTCCGACCGGGGCCCGCGCTGGCCCTCACGTTGAAGGCTTCCTGCAGCAACTCCACAATGTTGGAGGAGTCCTCTTGCAGCACCCCCAGTGAGGAGACAGGAAAGTACGTGTGCAGCTTCTGTGGGAGAGAGTGCCAGCCCAGGGCTAAGCCTTCAACAAGTATCACCTCACTGAATCTGGACAATAGCTTTGGGGTTATCCTCCCTTTGCTGATGGGGGAGCTAAGGCCTAGTGTGTTCTGGAGCCTGCCCTCCTCACCCCTACCTGCTTGGGAGTGGGGTTGGGGGATGGGTACATGAACTCCCTTTCCCATCAGGGTCCACCCCTGGGGGAGCCAAAAGCTCTGGGAAGGAAAGAAGGAAGAGAGGGAGGGAGGGAGGGAGGGAGGATGTCTGAGAAGTCCCGTGGACTCCCCTCCCGCCCCCCTCTTGCCCAGGGAGGCCTCCGCCCCGCACCTCGTAATAGCTGTAGGAGTAGTTGGTGACAGCGAAGATGGGGATGATGTTGTGTTTGCCAAGCAGGCGCACCAGGGTGGGCACGGACGGATAGTCCTGCGTCCTGTACTGGGTGTAGGTGCCCGAGGAGTCCAGGTGGCATGCCTCGTCATTGCGGCTCACGATGCCGGCCAGCACGTTGGCACCGTCTGCCTCATAGTGGAAAGCCGACTCGGTGGAGAACACCAGCAGGTGGGTGCTGTTGGGCCGCCAGCCAATGTCCCTCTGGGAAGGACAAGGAGGGGAGGCCCATCGAGCAGGCCGCCTGCTGAGGTCGTGTGCCACAGTGTCGTGTATGACTGAGAAAGCGGGTCCCAACATGAGCTCAGCTAAGCCACAGGATTCACGGCATCACGAACAATGCACGTGACAGCACGTGAGCCATGGCGGTGGGCAGCGGAAAGCGGCAATGAGGATGCGGGAAGGATGCAGGCGGGGTCTGCGCACACAGCGGTCACCACGCAAGACCCGAGCTAGCTTCCTCCGACTGGCCCCCCAGGCTTCATAATTACTCTGAGGGAATAGTTTAACTGCATGGGAAAATGTACACCCACAATGCTGAATGAAAAGGCTGGTTAGGGGAGCCCGGGTGGCTTAGTCGGTTGAGCGTCTGCTTTTGGCTCGGGTCCTGGGATCAAGCCCCGGGTCGGGCTCCCTGCTCAGCGGGGAGCCTGCTTCTCCCTCTCGCTCTGCAGCTCCCCCTGCTTGTGCTCTCTCTCTTCCTCCCAAATAAATAAATAAAATATATATAAAAAAAAGAAAAGGCCGGTTAAAATAGATACAGCTGTGCGTGGACTTGGAAAACTGTATTACAAGCTAAAATGCTCGTGACAGTGTTAATTGAAAAAAAAAAAAAAAAAGCAAGTTTCAGAATTTTAAGTACACTGACTCCAGCTATATAAAGTAAGGAAAGGGAACAAAATATGCTGGTGGGATATCAAGTGGCTGGCTGGCTGGCTGGCTGTGGTGAAATTATGGGCGATTTCTGCTCTTTGTTTTCCAAATTGTTTATACGATGGGTATATTATTTTCAAAATGAAAAAATTGCTGTGCACGTAAAAACTGCCCTCTTCAGCTGCCCAGTGCAGTTGGAGACTGTGGGTCCTGGAAGACTGGCATTAGCAGGGAGATTGGTGGTAGGCTGGCTTTAGGGCAAGGAAGATTCCAGAACCCCAGAACTCATGTCTGCTTCGCTGGTCAGTACAAAAGCAGCATGCCTACATGCTCAGGCCGGGGGACCTTGGATCCCAGCACATCTCAACCTGGCTTATAATTGTGGGCCCCCTGGAGGGTCTCAGCTTGTCTTTGGGCATAGGGGTCTCGGCCTGACACCAGAGCAGGCCGGTGGGCAGCTCATGCCCTTGCAGAGAAGCACAATCCTGGTCTGGGTGGGCAGGGCTCTCCCTGGCACTCACCGTGCACACGGCCACCTGCAGGATGGCATCAAAACCTCCTTCAGGGGCGTCCAGGTTGCCTGAGATCCGCTCCCCTAGCAGTTTATTCCGAAACTCTTCCAAGTTTTCCGTCAGGCTGATGACATTCTTGAAGGAGAAGGGGGCGTCACTGTTGGGCCAGGGCTCCTTCAGCCTGGGCAGAGGTGGAGGGAGAGAGAGAGAGAGACAGAGTCAGGAGAGAAGACCCCCATGCCCCTGTGCCCACCCTCTCTGAAAGTGGCCCACTGGTCCACTTCGACCAGAACACTTGGAAGTGCCCTGGTGGCGAGGAGGTGGGCCCCGTGGCTGGGACCCCTGCCCACTCGGTCACTCACTTCTTTCTTCTTTTTTTTTTTTAAGACTTTATTTATTTTATTTTTTAAGAAGATTTTTATTTATTTATTTGAGAGAGAGCGAGCGAGCAAGGGTGGGGAGCACATAGGGAGAGGGAGGAGCAGACTCCCAGACTCCCCAGCTGAGCAGGGAGCCCGATGGGATCATGACCTGAGCCGAAGGCAGACGCTTAACCGACTGAGCCACCTAGGGGCCCCTCAGTCACTCACTTCTCAGGCCTCATGTCTGTCTGAGGGACGCTGACTTTGTCCACAAACTTGCCAAATCCAATAGCGTAGTCATCAGTGAGCTCTCTCAGGACCTGGGCTGGGTGTCAACAGGAAAAAGAGGGGGCAGCTGAGCCCCAACACCCCCACATCAGCAGAGGGGGCCAGGGGCTGGCTCGGGAAGGAGGAAGAGGGAAAATAACCTCCTGTCAATACCTTGCATGTGAACATCAGTTCATGCTCACAGTAGCCCTTGTCCCTGTTCACAGACGAAGGAAATGGGACTCGGGAGGCCCAGAGTCATGCATGGAGGGGGCAGCCAGGAGCCTGGAGAACCTCAGCCTCATGGCCATGAGTGTGCTCCTTGTCAGGGTCAGAGGGCTCTGCTGCCCACCCAGCCTGAAGTCCTGAGTAGTTAGTGGGGTCTGGCTAGGACCCACGCCTCAGAATGGGAGGGAAGGGATTTCTTGGGGGGCTCAGATAGCCTATCCTTCCTTGTGGCATGGGTATAGCCATCCTGAGCCCTAGCCTCCCAAGCAGGGGCCCAGACAGCTGGATGAGGCCACCCTCTCCGTTCCCTACCCCACTGTCCTCTATGCTGGCCCAGCCATACCCAGTCTCTCTCCCATCTGCTTGAGGTTGTCCAGATCGTCAGACATGGAGTTGGAGAAATCCATGAGGATGTACAGGTCCACAGGGCTCTTCTCGGGCTCGAACACCTTCAGCTCAAAGTGTTGCTCCTCACCAGGCCGCAGCCGGACCCGTAACCCCTGGGGCGACACCTGGCTGCGCTGCAGGTTGGGGTTGATCGGGGTGTCCTGTGTCCAGGGGAGGGGGACAGCTGGCTGGAGGGTCACTCCAGAGACCTGATGGGGAACCTCTCAGCCCAGCCAGCGGACACAGTGGACCCCTGTAAACAGCCGGCCTCGAGCGTGGGTGGGCCCACTTCCCTTGACCCCCACTCCGGGCACCTCTGTGATCTCGAAGCTGCTCTCCATGACCACTACGCTCTCCCACCGGCAGCCGGCAGCCAGCAGCTCTGCCTGGGTGTTGCAGCGCTGCTCCTTGAACATCTGGCCAGAGGAGGTGGGGTCAGGGGGGCAGTGCCCATCCCCTGGCTGTCCCAACCCTGGATCTCTCCTGACCCTTGCCTGTTCCACACCCGCCTGGCCTGAGGCTGGGCTGAGGGTGCGGCAGGTGTGGACTTGGCCAGAGCCCGGCGTGGGGCATGATGGGGTGGGGCACCCGGGCTGGGGAACTGGCCAGGGCTGGCGCTGGGCTCGGGACGGCAGGCAGGCGACAGCAGCTCACCTGGTCCGTGCAGTAGGCACATTCCCTGTCCACGCGGATGCACTCTGTGCAGCTCTTCGCCTGGGCCCTCTTACAGCGGTTCGCTGGAGGGCAGAGATGAGCAGACCCAGTGAGATGAACCTCACCAGGGACCAAGTCCTTTCCTGCGTGTATCCTCATTGGAGAGAGGCAGGGATTCTCTCTCACTTTACGGAGGAGGAAATGGAGGCCAGTGGGTAGGCAGTCTGCCCCATGGCATATCTGGGGCAGAGCCAGTTCTCACACCTGAACTTCCCCTCAAGTCCGGATGGTGCGGGCTGAGACAGAAGGGCTGGCCCATTTGCTGGTGGGGACACCCTGGCCGTCCCTCCCCTGCTCCTCCAGGGGACAGGGGACTGTGTCTGCCTTGCTTATTGCTGTTTCCCGGTACCCAGCCCAAGCCCAGCACACAGTAAATTGTTAGTAAATGAATGAAGAAAAACTCCAGAGTTTCCCAAGGGTTACTGGGATTCCCTTTGGTTCTGTTCAGTTAAAATCTCAGTGAGGGGCGGGCGCCTGGGCGGCTCAGTCGGTTAAGCATCTGCCTTCGGCTCAGGTCATGATCCTGGATCCCGGGATCGAGTCCCGCATCGGGGTCCCT